GCTCTGTGGGAAGGCATTATTAGGATTGTACAGAACTTTGCTGATGTAAAATACAGGGGGTGGGACTCATCATATAGAACAGCTGGATCTGGAGAGTTATTGTGTCCATATCTCTGAAGCTAACTAATGAAAAAAGGAATAATGCAGCTGTTCTGCTGCACTGCTAGGACCAATGCTGTAAAAAAACTAAATACTCCAATGTATGGTCTAGTCTAGACATTCCCTGTTAAAAAACCCATTGCCATTGAGTTCATTCCAACTCATAATGACCCTATAAGCACAGAGTAGAACAGCTCCACAGCATTTCCAAGGTTGTAATCTTTCTAGAAGCAAACTGCTTCATCTTTTTCCCATGGAACTGCTGGTGAGTTCAAACCACTGAACTTTCAGTTAAAAGCCCAGCACTTAAGCACTGTGCCACCAGAGCTCCTTGGACATTACCAGCATTTGCCATATTATCAGTGCCTGATAAATATTGTAGAATGAGTACATCTATAAACTTGGGATTTGGTTGCACCTTAGATTTACTCTGCTAGGTTAGTTTGATTTAAATCCAAGTAAAACTTGTTGTGTTGTTGTTGTTATGTGCCATCGAGTTGACCCCAACTCATAGCGACCCCTCCTTGGGTTTGCGAGGCAGTATCACTATGGAAGTAGATTGCCCCATCTTCCTTCTGAGGAGTGGCTGGTGGGTTTGAACCTCCAGCCTTCTGGTTAGCAGTCAAATGCCTTAGGCACTATGCTACCAGAGCTCGATCTATAATTTAATACAAATCTTAATATGTCTTTGCTGCGAGAGGTACAAAATTATTAACACATAATTTTGAAATTTGAAATCTAAGTTATCCCAATACAAAGGTAAATAAGTATACTTGTCAACATACATGGGATGAGAACTCTCTTATACTTATGGGGCTATCCCATACTTTGGAAAGTGGTATAATGGGCAATTAAGTTCTGTCTCTTCCTTTTACTTGCTTGTATGAGCATGAACATGTGATTTTGTTTTCCTGAACTTCTTTTATTTTTCAAGCTATAAAATGTAGGTGATAGTACCTGCTTTCCTCACAGAAGTGATAGAAAGATCAAATAAGCTAATTATGTGAAAGAATTCTGTAAACTACAAAGTGTTATGTGAAGTAAGGCATTGTTGGCAAGGAGGCCTGTGGAACTAGGTCAGCCTAGTGTGAAAGGGTCATGGTGTCAAGGTGGTCAATGTCAAGGTACAGATGAAATCTCAGGTTAATTGCACGAGAAAGTTGTTGTTGTTATGTGCCACTGGGCTTTTAAATTAATTTGGGTTTTAAATTTATTCTGGGGTAAGTGAATTCTGTAATACTAAGAGATATATGAAGAACTCCTATATTCCTTATATTCCTCATTAAACTCAGCTATAATTAACTAGATCCGTAAAATAATAATAAAAAAAGATATTGAGGGACCAATGTAGGGTTGTAAAAATGAAGACAATAATATTGTTGTAAGTTGCCACTATTTCATGGAAAAAAAAAAAAGATTTTCACACACACACACACATCTAAAAGATCACAATCTCAGAATAGAGAACAGTCTCTCTAAAAAAGACACTTGGTGACCTTACACCAACACCTATGGATCGATGGAGGATATCTCTCCAAATAGGAGCTCTCATGGTGCAGTGGTTAAGGCATTTGGCTGCTAACCCAAAGGTTGGTGGCTCAAATCCACCAGCTGCTCTGCAGGAGAATGATGTGGCAGTCTGCTTTTGTAAAGACAGTCTTGAATGCCCTATGGGGCAGTACTATTCTGTCCTATAGGGTTGCTATAAGTCAGAATTGACTTGATGGCAGTGGGTTTGGTTTTTGGTTTGGTTTTCTCTCAATATACATTGTTCTTATTTTTCTCATAACACTGAGGACTAATAAAAGCTTCCTTATAGGCCAGCACAGTTCCTTGAATTGTCCTTTGAGAACAACCAGAAGATGAAGAATAAAGATGTTTCCATCTTAAGCTTTGGGGGGGGGGGTCCTGTTGTGCTGTTCATTTGTATTTTATCAACAAACCCCAGCAGCAATGTAATCTTGATAAACTTGGGCTTGAATATAACTGCCCTTGCCCTCATTTTTGTCAGTGGAAGAGTCATAAAATTTCCTGCTTGTAGCATATTGTAATTTCCTCCTTGCTGGTTCAGATAGTTTGTGATTCTGCATCAAAGTCCTTTCCTCAAGGAGGAAAAAAGAGCTGTACCTGAGCCTTCCATGCATTAAGATAAACTTTAAATTAAAGGAGGGCATTTGGTTATTTTGGTGCAAGAATGTCTTCTTTATCCTTTAACATCTACCACTAGGGATACAGATGTATAAAAGCAATAATTATTTAAATTTTTAAGAATATTTTAAAATATTTTATACCACCAACTTATCAACAAAAAACTTGAAGGCCACTGATCAACCTCTATAGTGTCTACCTATGCTCATGCTTAGAATTTGAAACATCAGTGAAGAAAAAGGTGGCTGATTTGACCAGTTTTTAAATATATTTCTAAAACATTTCATTAATTTTTTAAAAATCAAGGTATAATTTACATACAATAAAAGGAATAAATTTTTAAGTGTTTAATTTGATGAGTTTTGACAATTGTACACATTCATGTAACAACCGCCCAGAACAATACATAGAGCATTCCATTACTCTGCAACATTCCTTTGTGATGTTGTCCAGTCATCCCATAATCCTTGCTAGAGATAATTAATTTGAATTTGTAACAACATAGATTAATGCTTCCTATTCATATAAATAAAATAATAAATTTTTGTGTGTGACAGGCTGCTTTCTCTCAACATAAAGTTTTAAAATTTATTCATATTGTTGGAGGTTTCTGTAGATCTGTTCCCTCTTATTGCTTATAAAACTATTTATTTATCTATTCCCTTGTTTCTGGAGAAAAATATAAAGAACTCTAACAAATTAATAAGCAACAAATGGCCCAAACTATTATTAATATGAATAAGACTGCTGTGAAATTCCTGTGCATGTCTGTTTGTTAATAAAAGTGTATCTTTATTTCTCTTAGGTAAATACTTAGGAGTGAAATTGTTAGGGTAGATGTATGTCCTTTATGACAAACTGCCAGACAGTTCTACATAATGGTGTACCATTTTACACTTCTACCAGTAATGCATGATGATGTCATTTGCTCTATAGCCTTGTCAACATTTGGTGTTCTTAATCTTTACGATTTTAGCTACTCTTGTGGATGTGAAGTGGGATTTTATTTTGCATTCCCCTGAGGTCTAATGGTATTGAGCAACCTTTCAAGTGTTTGCTGGCTGATTGTGTATCTTTTCTTGAAGGGTCACAGTCACTTGCTTCTTCATATTGGATTGTTAGCTTTTTTGATATTAATTTATTACAGTTTGTATTTTCATTATCAGATACACGATTTGAGAATAGCTTTTGTCAAAGCTAGTTTTCCCATTCATTTTATAATGGTGTCTTTAGATGAGTATGAGTTTTTAAATTTGATGAACTGAATAATCTAACTGATATTTGCCAGGGATTTCTCTAGTCTCAATTTCCAGTCATAGAGCATTTTAATCTAATTGTATTGTTTGGATAATATCCAGGTTGGCAAAAAAAAAAAAAAAGGACCAGGGATAGTCCACATATGTATTTTTAAAGTACTATAGGAGCTCTGGTGGCACAGTGCCTAAGGCATTTGACTGCTAACCAGAAGACTGGCGGGTCAAACCCACCAGCCACTCCTAGGAAGGAAGATTAGGCAATGTACTTCTGTAGTGATACCACCCCGGAAACCCAAGGAGGGGTCGCTATGAGTCTGATCTGACTCGACGGCAGTGAGGTATGGCTTAGACAAATTTTTTGCCATTATTTAACCAGAGGTCATCTTTCATTGAGTGTTCTTTACCCAATGAACTTTTGTCTAACTTGTGTAATTTCATAATCATCACTGCCTCTTGTGGTAGTTCAGTTTGTGTGTCAACTTGGCTGGGCCTGGTTGAGCGGCTGGGCAGCTGGATGTAGTATTCCCCATGATGAGACTCATAATCAACTCCATGGTGGAATCTACTGTGAGCAGCTGAGTAGCTGCCTTAGGGAATATGGTCTGCTTCCTGTATATAAGCAGAAGCCTTGGGGAATAGTCTCTAACTTATGGCACACTTGAACGCTGCATGTAGCCATGTCATTTTTCAGCAGCCAATCTTGCTCTGCCAATCTTGGGACTTAAAATGGACTTGAATCAATGGCTGCCGTGTGGTTTGGTAACATCAGGAATGTGCCATTTTATTTGTTGATCTTGGGCTTGTTAGCCTCAGTAGCCAGTAGCTGCCTGAGTGAAGAGATGCTTCTAGCTTCAGTGGGCTGGAAGCAAGAGGCAGAGCTGAAGCCCAAGGTCAAGGGTATTTCACACAGCCCCTAGAGCCTAGCACTTTGAACTCGGACTTCTAGCCTCCCAAATTATAAGAGAATAAACTCCTGTTTGTTAAGACCATCCCATTTGTGGCATCTTCCTGTCAGAGAGGCACTAGGTAACCAGAACACCTCTTATATTGACATAATCCTTATGCTAAAAGGCTTTTCATTACTATGCATTTTCAAATCACTGGGCAGGATTCCCTATATCATAAAAGTTCATCAGAACCTGGTGACTCAGAAAAGCTCTTTCTGACTTTCTCCAAAACACTGAGATAAAGGCAAAAAATCAGAATTGTGCCAATGGCATAACTTTAAAATATATGACCTGAGTCAGAATACATCATCAAGAACAGTTCTAAATCCATTCTGAACTGCAGAACTCTTTCTGGGTTCCTAAAACAATGCCCAGCACATATCAGGCACTCAGTGTTTGGTGAGTGAATGAAGTCACTCTAGATAGAGTTCTATGAGAAAATAGAGAAATAGTAGAAAAGAAAAGAAAATTTGTGAAAACATATTTTACACATGGAAGAATAAAACTGAGAAGAAATATCATCAATCAAATATGAAATAGGGTTTCTTACTGTTCCTGGCAAGATCGGGCAGCCGCAATCCAGGTGTGTTTCTGCTCCATGATCAAGGAGTGACAGTAGCCTGAGTGATGGTGCCACCCAGCTGGGCAGGACTTGTCTTTCACTTCCTGAAAGGCAGTGTTCATGTCCACATCATAATGGTCTTCACAATCCTTAGTCTATTTTTAGCATAAGGAGTCCTATCAGTTCTTTACCTTGAATAGAGTTATTTTGGTCACCAGAAATGTGGCCAGCCCTAATCTCAAGTCTCCATGTTTAGAAATGCAGTGACTTCTTATGGAGAACACTACCAAGTTCAGCAATGTTTCAAGTTTATATCCTGACATTATAATACTTTTAAGGAATAAGTAAAGGGGAAAAATGCAGAACAGAATTTCAAATTTTCATGGAATACAGACTTTCTAGGGCCATGAAAGTGAGATACACCTCCAAAATTATTGCCCTGAGACAATGTTTAAATCTTAAAGCAAAAATACCCCTGAAGTCATATTTAAACCAAACAAAAATTTAGTTTAATTAGCAAGCAATGCTTGCCTTGGCTGTTGTGCTCTTTCAAAGAAAAATCTATATGGGATCAAGTTGACAACACCAACTAGAAAAGTTAGATAGGGAGCTTAGGGACAACACGTTTATGTTGATGGGAGAGGAACAATTCAGAAAAGGAGGCTAAGAATGGTTGCATAACATAATCAATGTCACTAAATTGTACATGTAGAAATTGTTGAACTGGTGTATGCTCTGCTGTGCATATTTTCATTAACAATATCAAAAATAAAATAAAATTTGAAAAACAATAATTAAACATCTTCTTAAACTGTATTGATTTAACTAATAGTTTCATGATTTTTACAAAGCCAATTTGGGCCATTTTCCCTCTGTGTCTGTAAGCTGTGAAAAGGAGATACAGAAGTAGCTTGAATTGACACAGAGGCACCAGGTTCCTCCCTCTCTATTAGCTTCTCATGGGGCACACTGTTGGTATGGGTGCTAGGCTCTCAGCCCATGTCCTACCTTGGTTTGGGGGGTCCAAGCTTTCCAGGCAATCCCATTGCACTGATACAGCTTTTGAAGGCTTTCTTCAAAATAGAAAAGTCCCTTTAATTCCAGAGTGCAGTTCTTTGGAAATGAGGGCAACTGGTCCTATGGGAAGGAAAGGTAATTTAGAATTGACTTAAATGTAAGTTCATTACACACTTATCAACTTGGAATCGTCATTTGTTGGGTAGCATTTGTGTTGAGTAAACTGTCTACAACACTTGGAGGCTATTTTGTGTGCTTATGGCCTCAGCAAACAGTTTGCTATAATGTGAGTAGGAAGTAAAAAATTTCCATACCTGTCTGGAGAAGTGTGAGTCGGTTGTGGATTCCACCTTATCTGCTTGAGGCAGTTCTGCCACTGTGATTGTCTTCATTGGGCCACTAATGATGGGGACTTTGGCCTGCGGTTTCTGAATTGAGGAACTGTCATCCTCCAGTTTTAGAGACACCATCCCATGATACTTGAAGAAACCAACAAATAACCACAATAAGGAAAAAATGCACACTGAGATGGCAAACCAAAAATTTTGTTGTAAATGTTGAGCAATTCTACAATTGGATCAAAACAAAAAGATGAAGTCTTTTCTTACCACTCAGTACTCTTAAAAAAAAAAATAAATTCAAAAACAAGCTTTTAGGAGAAATATATAAACAATTTTTCTGTATCTATAAAAGTAAGGAAATTAGCAATTCCCTCCAATTCTACTTACATTATAGATGATATCTGTTCCATTTCTATAAACAGAGGAAGGACGAACCTAGAATCAACAGAAAACAAAATATGATCAGGCTTTCTCTTAGTGATAAGACTGAATTGGCTTAAGTAATAATTAGTGCCAGAGTGAAAGCCTTCCAATAAAATCTTAATATCTGAAAAATTTTAAAACATATGTTTATTAAGATTCTCCATGCCCAAATCATTGGATTTTTATACATTGCTAGGTCTAATCACAATGTATCAATGTTGGTTTCTGCATTAACAGTACCCAAGAAAACCAAACCCACTGCCATTGAGTCCATTCCAAATCATAGCAACCCCATAGACCAGAGTAGAACTTCCCCATAGGGTTTCCAAGGCTGTAAATCTTTATGGAAACAGACTGCCTTATCTTTCTCCTGCAGAGTGGCTGGTGGGTTCAAACCACCAACCTTTAGGTTAGCAGATAAGCACTAAACCATTGCATCACGAGGGTTTCTATTAACAATTTCAGTTAGGGAGAAAAGATATTTTTACTTTTTTGATACATCTGTAGTACACAGACAGGAGCCATGATGGAGCCACACAGAAGCCCAAGAAAACACACACACACACACACACACATACATATACGAGCATAAACACACATGCACACATAGGCACATGTACATGTTCACACCCACACACATATACATACATTCACACCTATATATTCACACACTTATGTACACACACATTCATACACCCATACATATACACATGTATTATGCACACACACACACTCACGGACCTTTATTGGTTAGCTTCCACACCCAAGTGGATCACTCAGTCTCCCTAATGCAGAGTTGCTCATCCCTATCTGTCTCAGTTACAAAAGGAACCAAAGGAGAAATCATATGTGTGAATCAATGTACCTATCATTTCAATTAATATAGCTAATGAAGTGGGGTAGCATGTGATTTGTACAAAAGGCACTGGTTGACTATAAAGGAACGATGGTCCCCACTCACTAGGAGAATCAAAGCAGCTCCATCAGTGCTTCAGAGAACTCATTAGTATTTTTTGTTCTTTTAATATGTACTAAAAATACCATGGACTGCCAGAAGAATGAACAAATCTGTCCTGGAGGAAGTGCGGCCAGAATGCTCCTTGGAACCAAGAATGGCCAGACTTCGTCTCACCTGCTTTGGTCATGTTGTCAGAAGGGACCAGTCCCTGGAGAAGGGTATCATGCTTGGTAAAGTAGAGGATCAGTGAAAAAGGGGAAGGCTCTCAATGAGATGGATTGAAATAGTGGCTACAACAATGAGTTCAAGCATAGCAAGTATTGTGAGAATGGCACTGGACTGCATGGTGTTTTGTTTTGTTGTACGTAGGGTTGCTACAGGTCACAGCCAACTCAACAGCACCTAACAACAACAAACACATCAGCTCCCAGAAGACCCCTGTAGTGGTGTCATTAGTGGGGAGTGTGCACACAGCACTGGGTGATACTGTCAGAGGGGGTGAAACCAAAATGGCTGTCTATAAAATTTCTGTGCAGTATTTCAGCAGAGATGAATTAAAATATCCCCATAGTTAGTTATAACAACAAAAACATTTTTCATAAGCCTAGTTTACATATACCAAACTCACTGCCATAGAGTCAGATCAGACTCATAGCGACCCCTCTTTGGGTTTCCGGGGTGGTATCGCTACAGAAGTAGATTGCCTAATCTTCCTTCTAAGGAGTGGCTGGTGGGTTTGACCCTCCAGCCTTCTGGTTAGTAGTCAAATACTTTAGGCACTACCAGTGCCGCTTACTACTAACCAGAAGGCTGGCGATTCAAACCCATCAGCCACTCCTCGGAAGGAAGGTTAGGCAATCTACTTCCGTAGTGGTACCCCCTCGGAAACCCAAGGAGGGGTCACTATGAGTCGGATCGGACTTGACGGCAGTGAATTTTGTTTGGTTTTAGTTAGTTTACATATCTCAATATACCTATAAGCTATGCTAATTTACTTTTTGAACCTTCTAATGCACTCCTATCAGAGCTGTCATTACTACCCAGTTACAATGATGCTTTGAATCACATGGTTTCATCTGCATATGGTACAAGAATGCACTGTTGTTTTCATTGCAGCTGGTGTTTTTATAGTCACTGATTTTGTCACATTTTCTGTTTTTTTTTTTAGCTATAGTATTATGGCAAGTAGTATTTGTGAACCTATATCAATAACTGTTTTGAGAATGAAGTAGTTATTAAAGGAAAAGGAGAAAAATGAACAAAGGCTCCCACTCAATTACTAATAGTGTTGTAACTAATACTGTTGTAATTCAATGTAGAAAGATTTTAGAAAACAATATTGTTGTTAGTATTCATATAATCTAATAACTATTATATTTAAGTAATTTTTAACTATATTTGTCATCTATTATTCTATGATTAAAATTGATAATAAACATTACTAAAGGTTCTGTATGGTCTGGTACAGGGAGTGGTCCGTGAGGGGAGTGACATCGTCAGTTACAGCACTGAGTGGCACCAACTCTAGTGACGCTACTGGGTCCCATTCTTACTGTTCTGCCATTCCCACGGGGTCTAAGCCTCATTCGAGAAAGATCCGTAGAATCAAAGCCCTGTGGGGTGTCTCCTCTGGTGACTTCTAGCCTCTTGAAGGATGGAAGGGGTCTTCTTTCCAGATGAAACGAACCAGAAGTGGTGGGTAAGGAAGCCCCTGGGAGCTGAAGACGCCACAAGCCTTTCTCCCATGCGTTGTGCTTGTTTTGGTTGAAGGAATATGAATGATGGCACTGTCCTGGAGGCATGCAAGATGGCAGGCGGTCAGTTCATTTTATACAAACAGATAAGTGATTACATTGACACAGCCCCCAGAGCAGCTTGTCATTAAACTGAGATGAATAGTTTTCCCACCAGATGTTGCCTGGTTGCCATTTGCCAGAAGCCCCTTTAGTCTTCATCAGTTTCCCTCCGGGAAAGCTGTGCCCTTCTGCACATCTACAGAGTGATTATAAAGTCATGAAATTGATTCCACAAACCACAAATGAAAATCATTGTCATGATTTTATAATTATGTCGTATCCTTGGGAACAGGTCTCACTTCTCTTCATATGACAGTACTCCTCAATATGTCAGGTTTATGCCCTGATCAGGTATCATTCCACAAGCCCTGCAAAATAGCCAGTGCTTTCCCTGACCTTCCAGATGTAGAAGCTGTTTAAAGACGTCAGGGAAACCAAGAGGCAGTTTTAAGAATTAGTATTCAACTGTTACAGAAGAGTTGTTGTTAGGTGCCGTCGAATGGTCTCTGACTCAGAGCATCCCTATGTACAGCAGAATGAAACACTGCCTGGTCTTGTGCCAGCTCCACGATCCCTGCTATACCTGAGCCCATTGTTGTAGCCAGTGTGCTGCAGAACAAAGAACCAGTAAATCTGAACGGAACTGCTTGTGTTAGAAACCTAGGTAATTATTATTTCTGGGATGGTATATAAAAAATCTAAGGCTTAGACCCTTCTCCTCTGGTATTTCATACTTCAGTTATAAAGTGTACATTTCAAGTACTTTCTGCCCTTCATGGGATCAGAAATTTCTACTGGAAAAGAAATTAATTTGGTGAAGGGAGGTCGTGGGGAGAGATGTTGTCGACATGAACACTATAAAGGAAAGAGGAGAGTGCTAATTTTTATTATAGGGTGAGAAAGAGAAGAGGTGATAATAGATGTCAGGTAAGGAACAGATAAGGACATAGGGCATAACAGGTGTGAAAATGGGCAAATAAGAGTGAGTGTGGTAACAGAACACTTGTCAGATGCTAAGCAGACACATAATTAGAGGGTGTTTGGCAGAAAAAATATCAAAGCACCAAGGGCTTTGGCTGGTCTTTATTTTGTTTTGTTCACAGGTTGTTCTTTCATATATTCTATCCAGGACCTCTTTGGCTCTGCAGCCCAAAGTCATTCATTAATATTCTCCAGCTGCTCCTATCCCTAAGCCAGCTGCGTCTTTCTCATCTATTTTTTCCAATTCCTTCCTCTCATAGAATTTTCCTGGTCACACTACAGTGGGGGCTTGGATTTTAGGCATTAAGAGCTCTCTTTAACAGAGGAAGATAATTACAACCCTACTAACTTGGGGAGGGGGAGGAGGGTGGAATAATGGCTGATAGATTCTCACCAACATTGTTTCCCCCTTGGTGAGAACAACAGAGAGGAAAAAACAAAAACGGTGCTGACTTGTTGCTTTTCTTGAGCGAGAGTTCTTAGCAGGAGGAAAACCACATGAAGCAGAAAGCAGAATAAAGGGCCTACATCATGACTGAGGTGGCTTTCTTGACAAGAAATTAAGCATTTTGATTTGAAAGCATTATCAAGTATGTTGGCTGTTGAAAGCAAGCAGCTACGACGCCAGGACTGCTCCTGATTTCAAGATGAGGATCAAAAGAATACCTCCTTTTGAGTCCAAAATTTTCACTGCAGCTCTTGTCTTTGTGCCAAGAACTGCATTCACAGGGGAGTTCAGAATTACTTCAAAGACCTCATCATCTTCCTCTAATCCGTCATAGGTAATTGCTATATTCCACATCTTAGTTGACATTCCTACAAGAAGTAAACATTTTAATTACTCTTTAATTGCTATTTCAATCACCTAGGTGTCAGGGAAATATATTAATTAACATGTCTACAGCTCAACTGCAGTAGCCTGCATGAGCTATTGTATGCTACCAAGTGCCTGAAGTCCTGCTGTTCTCCCAAATAATATTAAAAGACTACATTTGTTCCTGGACAATGATGATTCCGTTTAAATGCAAACACTGTAACAAAAAAGTAGGCTGCATTATGCAAGGGATGAAAAAAAAAGTGTTAGTAGATGAGATCCAAGATTTAATTTTTTCTGACCTGCCCCTTCCCTTCTTAAGAATAAACAAGTACTGCAATCTTAAAATCTTCTTAGTTTCAAAATTCTTTAAGATGTTGATGCAGAGAGTTATGAGTGATTTTTGGATGGTACTTCATGCTGTTCATGGAACTCTTGAAATGATGGATTTCTAAAGACAGCTGCCTCTATAGGCTGCCCTACTTCCTGAGATGCCTCTAGCTCAGAAATGCTGTTTCTGATGACGTAATAGTCAGTAGTTTGATATTCTCCTAAAGAGAATTTATGGGTGTGTATGTGTGTGTGTGTGTGGGGGGGGTTCTAGAAATAGACTGAGCCAATTTTCTTTTCTCTTTATGTCTACCTCTATTCATGGAGTTATAATCAAGCGTGGCTCACAGTCATTTTTTGAACCTAATAGATACCAGTTTTGATATCATAAACATATCCCCAGCCATCCATCACTGCTAAGATGGGAAGCAAAGCAAGCCCAGAAACAGAAAATACTAAGACTGAAAGAGACCTCTGAGATTGTCTAATCCTGACCGTTTTCCATGATCTGGATTACAAGGCTACCTCTTGAGTTTATTTAAGAAGAGAAAGGGGTAGCAGGAATACTGTTTGGTGGATAAAGAAGGCTCATGTCTATGGGGAAAAAAGTTAGTAAACGTATGATTTAACCTTCTAGGGCTAAGTTTTGAAAACCTCACTCTGCCATTTAGTCACTGATTATCTGTGCATACTTTTACTTCCATAAACTCCCACACAGAGGTGGTTAAAAAAATCAAACCACTCTAGTTATTACCGAGTCCATGCTGACTCATGGCAGCCTCATGTGTGTCAGAATAGAAGTACATTCCACAGGGTTTTCAAGGGTGTGACCTTTCCGGATCACCAGGCCTGTCTCCTGAGGAGCCTTCGGGTGGATTCAAACTGCCAACCTATGGAGCATTTAACCTTTATGCCACCCAAGGACTCTGTAAAGACATTTAAACATTCTTTTTCCTAGCCTTCCTTCTGAAAATTTAGACTCTTTTCTTCTTGAAGGTTTATGTCTCTCAGCTTTGCCATCTCTGTGATGGTCTCTTTCTTGAAAGTATGCCTCACATAGATCTCATGCCTAATCAAGATCTCATTGATCCCCAACAGAATCTAATGGAAAGGTGAACTTGTTCTCTGATCATACTGCAGCTGCACTCAGGTCTATCTGGAGTAGTAAGTTCAACACCTAATTTGTTAAACTTTCAGTATCAATTGACTTCTTAAAACAATTACTTTTACAATCTTAAAAAAATAGAAGTTGAAGCTATATAATTATATACTATATCATCTCCATCTCATCATTCGTGAAGCAATCCATCAAAATATATATTTTGTATTTACTATACACGTACCTCAAGAAGCTCTGGTAGCATAGTACCTATGGCATCTGACTGCCAACCAGAAAGTTGGTGGTTCAAACTCAACAGCCACTCCACAGAAGCAAGACTGGGCAATCTACTTCTGTAAAGATTTACTGCCTTGGAAACCCAATGGGAGTCGCTATGAGTCAGAATCAACCCGATGGCAGTGGGTTTGGTTTGTATATACATACACACACACACACACACACACACTTACCTTTACATTACATGCCATGGAGACTACCTAGAAGTGTAACATCACCTAAGCCCTGACCTAAAGGAGTTTAAAACATTATTGAAGAGACAATACATAAATGGGAGCTCTGGTGGTATAGTGCCTAAGGCACCAGTTACTCCTCATAAGGAAGATCGGAAAATTTACTTCTGTATTGATATCACCTCAGAAACCCAAGGAGGGGTTGCTATGAGTTAGATCTGACTCCATGGCAGTGAGTTTGGTTTTTTTTGGTTATACATAAATATTAGAAAAGTCAAACAATCATTTAAGGCTGCATGTGATTAACTGCCAAAAGATACAGCCAGCGTGAAAACAAAAATAGTTGCCATTGTGTCAGCTTCACTCATGGTGATCCTGTGTGTGTGGGTCTAGTGTTAGTGTTTTCAATGGCTGGTATTTTGGAAGTAGATTGCCAGGCTTCTCTTCCAAGGTGCCTCTGGGTGGACGCCAAAGTCCAACCTTTCAGTTAGTAGATGAGTATGTTAATTGTTTGCCCCACCCAGGGACTCTAAAAGATATGGACTAGATGGTGGATACTGTATATATTCAGAGAAAGAGGTCATTTGGGGCTCCAGACTGGGAAGGATTTGGAGAGAGGGAATAGGAAAGTAACATGAGCAGAGGCGGGAGGATAGCAATAGATAGGCCTTGATCAGTGAAGAGTGAGACAATTAGCTGTCTGAAACAGCAAGGACACATTGGTGGGCAAGAGATGATAAGGCTACGCAGGCAATTTGCAGCCAGATTGCAGAAAGCCCTGGAAACCAGATGGTTGGGTTCAGGTTTTAAAGCATAGGTGAAGGGGAAGTCTTCTGAATGAAATAACATGCTGAAGGTGGATATTTAGAAAAATAAACCAGAGCATGTTATATGGGATGATTTGGTGGCACAGGCAGATGGCAGACAGTCTAGAAGTTGGTAGACCACATAGGCAGCTGTTGCAAAAACTGGCATGAAGAGATAAGGGCCGGAAAATGAAGAATGTCTATAAATCCCAAGATTTCCAGTGTTTGCAGAATCATCTTGACCCCCAAAACTCAATGTAAGCAATATTCAAATAGAAATCCAACACCAAAAAATATTTCCAAGCCCCCAACTAATTGCCCTCCTATTCTAAGCATCATTCGGGAGGGGGGTGATTACAGTACCAAAACAATAAAACTTGTTGTTTTGTTGGGCCCTGTGGAGTAGAACCAGATGGTTAGAGAAAATTTGCTCCAAGTTTCCTTGAAGCACTTCTGATTTGTTTGTCTGCATTTCAGCTTTGTTTCTAAGTCTACCAGGTGTGTGTACAGGACCACTCTTTTTCAGGTTAATGAGATTGTAAGTAAGAACTTTCTTTTTTTTTTTCCCCCTTCCGCCCCCACTTTCAAGGTGCAAACTATTTGTTAAGATACTGATATTTAAAAGCAGTTTTAGAAGGCTTGAACTGACATCCTGTTCCCAGAAAACAAAAGGTGCTGAAGAGGAGAGAGGAAGTGTCATTTTATGCAGACATATCCACTTTACAGAATAGGCTAATTCCTGGATATTTCCCTCCAAAGCAGATTTCTCTATTGAAAGACATTTTCTCAGTGCTTTTGAGTAAACACCACACTAGAGATCTGTTCCTTTGGAAAACATTTTGACGCTAAGAAATGATGAAATCATATTAATAATGCAGCAGACCTTTCAGAACACATATTTTAAAGGAAAACAATCATTTTCTTAAGAATACTTACACTTCCACTCAAAAGTCACAATAGCTGAATGCAAGGTAGTTAGGATTAGCTTTCAGTTTTGGACGATAGCTGCAAGGCAAGCTTCAAGCAAACAAAAAAACCCAAACCCATTGCCATCGAGTAAAAAAAAAAACCAAACCCACTGCCATCGAGTCGCATCTGACTCATAGCGACCCCTCCTTGGGTTTCCGAGGCGGTATCACTAACAGAAGCAGATTGCCCAACCTTCCTTCTGAGGAGTGGCTGGCTGGTGGATCTTGAATATAATTTACCCAAGCCAAACCCACTGCCATCAAGTTGGTTCTGACTCATAGTGACTCTTTAGAACAATATAGAACTGCCTCATAGGATTTCCAAGGAGGTAAATCTTCACAGAAGCAGATTGCCTCTTCTTTCTCCAGTGGAGCAGTTGGTAAGTTTGAACCACCAACCTTTAAGTTAGTAGCTGAATGCTTTAACCACTACATCACCAGTGCTCCTCAATACTAGACTGCAAAGTTCCCCAGCTTCTCCTAGCTGCCTCCCCAAAGTTCTCAAAGATAAAATATGCCAATATCTTGGATTGCTCACTCTCTGTTTCTTCCCTGATCATGGAAGAGGCTGTTTTTAAAGAAATGGACAGAATACTCTGGGCAAAAGAGAGGAGGAAATACCAGACTCAAAAGAGGCAAGGATCCATAACATGAAACAACAACAAAACCCATAAATAAATATTTACAGGGCCCATGGACACAATGAACTTGCAAATTCTCTCAAGCAAGTCTTTACTTTATGAAATTCTTTCTGGTTAATAAAACAATGAACAACCATTTTTTTTTTTTTTTTTTAAAGTTATAAGATAAGCTTATAATAGCTCTAAAATGTCTAAATAATCTCTAAATCATAAGACTATTTAGAGCCCCCAGAAGTCATTAGTAGCTACTCAAACAGCATGCAAACTCTTCTAGACAGATGAGTATTTATCTTATCCAGTGACATCTCAAGGAGGAAGGTAGATTTGGAGCCTCTCCTAGCATGATCTATTCTAGCTCCTATCAATCCAAACAGAGCACCTGGTGCGCTTATTCAAAACCTACCAGAAGCCACAATCACTCCCCATCTTGTGATAAACATGTCTCAAGTCATAAAGATGACATATGGCAAAGATTCTTGCCTCTCAGAATGTGGGGAAGTTGGAACTGCTTTAAGATGAAGTACAGAAAAGTGCATGGTACAAATGCATCAAACCCTTTCATTTCAGGGTTGAACAGAACATTAAGAGCCTGTAGCAACCTCAGGGTAAACAAATGAAATGCATAAAAGGAATAGCACTTCTTACAGTGTGTGGTCAGCCCAAGGAACTGACTTTTGCAAATCAGAAAGTCAAATACCATAGGAAAGAGGTTGATAACAATAAGGGGGTTGATGCATGTGAAATTTAAGGCTCATCACACAAAATGCTACTCGTGGTGAACTATAGAAAGGCACTTCTTTTTCTGTGTTTAGTGCTGTGGTTTTCCATTTTAGGATCATGTTGGTTTTAGGCCACTTTGTTTTGCCTTTGCCTGAAACATGTTAAAAATGTTAAACATGCTAAAATGTCAAGAGTTTAGACTTGGGACACTCTGAGAGCTCAGAGTGTACAATGCCTCATTTGCAGAAAATACGAAGTCACAAACCCTGGCTGCTTCTCAAAGTTTTTTCCATTTGTCTGTGGACAGGTAATCCTCATCCAGCCCAGACAATAGGGAGAGAGTGCCTAGCAGTGCTGTGATGTAGAGCTACCTGCCCCCATTCATAGAAGCCAGGAAAAAAGTTGCAGCTCTAGCTTCAGGCCTATAACAACAGTCCCCCCACCCATGTTGTGTAAATGCTTTGGTGTTCAACCTTCAGCCCAGAGTTCCCTTTTTTTAGCTCCCACCAACTTAGAATGCCACCTCCCCTTCTTCCAGGTTTTCCTGGCAGCTCATCCTTTGATCCCACTGTACCATTAGTGAGTTGTTTTTATGTCAATATTTCCCACAAGACGGAACATCCTTGAGTGCAGGCACCATACTTTTGTATTCCCTACACCTAGCAAAATTTTCCCACACATTTAAAGCAAAATTTATGCTATTGAACTAAGTACTATTTTCCCCTAGAGTCTTCTCCTTTCAACCTATTCCAAGAGGAATTATTCAGAAATGCCCTATAGAAGCCCATATGAAAATAATATTTTGAAAGTTTCCATGAGGCTATTATTTTTTCTGGCTTTTTTGATGATTGCTTTGATATTTTGAATTTGTCATTTGTTATGATGTTTCTTCTCATTTTCAGTGAATATTTACTTGAAATAAACAAATATGAGGCATAGGCTGAGAGAAAATACTTACAAAACAAATTTCAGATAAAGGACTTGTATCCAAATTATACAAAATTTTAAAAACTCAACAATAAGGAAAAAATAACCATTTCCAAAATGGGCAAAAGATCTGAACAGACACATTACCAAAGAAGATATACAGATGACATAAAAAAGACATTCAACATCATGCCAGTAGGGAACTGCAGATTACAACAATGAGTTACCACTACACACTTACTAGAATGGCTAAGATCCAAAACAATGACAACACCAAATGCTATCAAGGATGTGGAGCAACAGGAACTCTCATTCACTGCTGGTGAGAGTACAAAATGATACAGCCACATTGGATGACAATCTGACAGGTTTTTTTTACAAAACTAAACATAAGTTTACCATATGATGCAGCAACTGTACTCCTAGGTATTTATCCAAATGAATTGAAAACATATGTCCCCAAAAAAATTTGCACACAAAGGTTGATAGCAGTTGTATTCATAGTTGCCAAAAACTGAAAGCAACTAAGATAAGCTTCAACAGGTGAATGGATAAACAAACTGGTACAGTGAAATATTATTCCATGATAAAAGAAATGAGCTACAAAAAGATGTTGATGAACCTTAAATGCATATTGCTAAGTGAAAGAAGCCTGTCTGAAAATACCACATACTATGTGATTCCAAATTTATGACATTCTGGAAAAGCCAAAGCTATAGGGACAGTAAAAAGATCAGGGGTTCAGCGAGATGGGCAGGGGAGGGTTGAATATAGAGCACCAGGCACTTTTAGGGCTGTGAAACTACTCTGATACTGTAATATTAGGTGGACACCTGACACTAGGCATTTGCCAAACCCATGGACTATATAACACAGAGTGAACACAATAATAAATGTACAACAGGGATGCAAGATGTTAATAATAGGGGAAAAAATTACAAGGGACAAAACCTCAAATCCAAAGTCATCTTTCTCTCTCTCCCAGAGTGGGGTGATACAGCTCCTGGAGGCGTTTCTAGCTGAATGAAGTTGCATTGTATTCCTGTCTTCTCCCTGATCTCCAGAGTTTCTTACAAAAACATAAAACAAACAGTAGACACAAAACGTACCTGGGTCAAACTGAATCAGCTTAGATGGAGTCACAGTAAAATCTCTTCCGACTGTAGCTGACACTGCGTTAACCTAAAGAAAGGGAAAATATCTATTTTTAATAAAAGTAAATATTCTGTAACAGAAACATCTAGGCTCACCATCATTATATACTAGACTAAACCCATGCACTTAAGACTGTTTTCAAGTGTTTTTTTTTTTTTATTTTTTATTGTAATAAACCATTTTAGATCCATGTTCTATGGATATTCCTTAAAGTTAACTCTCTGCTAGACTATTATAAACTTTTTTGTTTCTCTTTTATAAATGACTCAGTTATTGGAGAATATCACACAAATTTTAAATGATATTACTCTCTTTGTTTTGAGTAAAATTTTGTTTCATGACCTTTCCTCCATCCCAACTTGGCCTTGGAGGAAAGGGGGCAGGAGAATGCAAGTAAAGAAGAAAAGGCTGACACTCTTGACCACCTGTGTGCTGATGCCTGTGGGATAGGTATTACACCAGCTCTGGATATCCTGCAAGCTCCAGGGCTCTGAAAGCCTTTGGACTAGATTAACCAAACCAAGTCTGGTCCATTTCCCTGTGTAGATGAAAACATCACTCTTCATAGACATGAATGAGGGCTTTGTGAGATCCACAGTTATGGTGAATAGCCAAGCAAAGGCATTCCATATCCAGAACCAAGGGCTTAAGAGACACTTGTAACAGTGAGTTGTAAAAAAAAAAAAAAAAAAGCCCTCATCTAAAGAGCCTAATAGGAGCCCTGGTGGCACAGTGATTAAGTGCTCGGCTGCTAACCAAAAGGTTAGGCGTTCAAACTCATCAGCTCCTCTGCAGGAGAAAGATGTGGCATTCTGCTTCCATAAAGATGACAGGCTTGGAAACTTTATGGAGTGGTTCTACTCTGTCCTACAGGGTTACTATGAATCAGAATTCACTTGACGGCAGTGCATTTTTCAGTGGGTTTAAGGAAGCTATTGACTGCTACCCTGCTCTCTAGCTCCAAAGTTAAAAACCAAAGAGGTGACATAAGGAATACATTGCCCTAACTTTACTCAGAGGGCACCTAAAAATTCTTAAGTGCAATGTCTTTGGTTAGCTTAAGAGGTCATCAAATGAGGACCCTTATAAGTACAATGCTGTGAATGTGTACTGTCAAGTTGATTCCAATTCACAGCAACCCTGTATGACAGAGCAGAACTGCCCTATGGGGTTTACTAGACTGTAATCTTTATGGGAGCAGATCTCCAGGTCTTTTCAAACCACCTTTTGGTTAGCAGCTGAGTGTTTTAACTATTGTGCCACCAGGGCTCCTTTTTAAGCACAATAGGCAGTTTAAGATGTTTGGGAAAGTAGGTTAATGTACTTGTGCACATTATTAAAAAGGAGTAAAGTACACTGTCAAAAACTTAAAAATTTCTACTTCTGTGGCCTTAGATACCATCTCCATTTCAAGTCAAAGGTCCTAAGAGCTATTAATGAGTCTGTAGTAGAAACATTTTGCTGAAGAAGGGCACTGTTTCCAAAGTTTCCATGTGCTGTTTGTCTACAATGCCAGCACAGCCTCTCATTGTGAGAAGTGGCTCATTGTACACCTGTACCCACCATATGCTAGAAGTTACATTTCCCTGCATGATTCCTGAATGTGCAATTGCCTGGTATTTAGCACCACTGAGTTTATGGAATCGTATGTGGGAAAAGGAATGATGTGAGGCAAGGGGGTTGGAGAAATCTGTCAGGTGAAGGTGTATGAGTTAAACCAGGTCAGACAGCATAGGTAAAAATGTCTTCTCTTTTCTTTGTCCCTAGTCAAATAGCCAATAAGTTCTTACATCAAAAGGCAAGTTGTGCCCGGGGTAGATTTCTCCCTGGAAGAATCAGGGAGCTGCTCCACTTGATGAAGGTGTGCATACTTGGCTGGCAGGTACATGGAGTGCATCCTGCTTAGGTAGACAAAAGGCTCCCTGTAACACCATGTATGCTCCTTCCACCTGGCAAGGTGAATGGCTATGTGGTCCAACACTCTGGCCTGGTGCTTCAATGGGGTACTGGAGGATTTTTAGAAAACCACCCAGGCAGAGTATTTCTATTTCCATGGACAGTTATAGGGCACCAAGTACTCTGCTGTTTTAATAACAATAGTACAACAGCAGATCTGGGGAAGAGTGCCTATGTTTATTGGAAAGATAAATATTAAGTTTGGACATCATACAATTTAGGTGCACAAAGTTCAAAGAGTGATTTGAATTTATTATTATAATTTAGACTAAACAGAGATGCTACTTTTCCCAGGAGATAATGGCAGTGTCTTTTTCACTGGCGTGAAGAGGGGAGTCTTTAAGGCTCATTGCCCTTTTTAGTAAGTCCAGGCTCTCATTCTCTCAAAGTGCTTTGTTACTTACCAGTTTCCACAAGTTGACTCTGACTCGTGGTGATCCAGCGTGTGGCAGGGTAGAACTGTGCTCTGTGGGGTTTTTAATGACTGATTTTTTGGGGAAGTAGATCACCAGGTATTTCTTCTGAAGTGCCTCTGGGTGGACTGGACCCTCCAGCCTTTTGATTAGCAGCCCATTAACTGCTTGTACCACCCCGGAGCTTCCACTGTTGTTATAAATCTATCACTGTTAGTCAATTCTGACTCACAGCAACCCCATAGGACAGTATTACAGCACTCCTAAAAAAAAAATCCTTTAGTTCTACAAGCCATAGTTTGTTCACAATGATCCATGTGAATGGGAAGAAAAAATGAGTTGACTAATCCAAAAAAGAAGATTACCTGAATATTCTTTATGACTTGTAGAGCCTATATTAATTATATTCTCCTAATTTTCTATGACTTGGGCTACCCTTAACATAGGGTTTAAGTCTCCTGATTTACCTAATCCACTGAGACCAGGGTAAGTGATCATGGAACATACTAAGGAAACTCTTTGGGGACTGAACTTTCATCTGGGTATTCCACAAAGTAGATACATCTTGATGAATCTCTTGCACACAACTTCTTTTTCCAAAACAGAGTTTGGTTCAACTTCACTAGGTTGGATATATCTCCCTGTGAAATAAAACCTCAAAACTTAGAGAATTTAGTTTAGTTTAGTTTAGAGTTTGTTTAGAAACAAATAGCCATATTTAAAAACTAAAAATTAGTTTTAAAAAAATCATATCTAGGAGGTAATAAACATGGATGAAGGATGGAGGGACATGAGGATTCTCAACTTAGAATCTTCAAAATATTGTGACAGCTCCGGAGTTTGAAATATCCTTTGTCACTCCAAATCTTTCTAAGAAAATAATCAATGGCACCAACCAGTAACATAATTTTGAATTTGACAGTTTACACTCTAGACTTATTACCTTCACGCTCACAAAGGCTGAGTCCATGGAGTATCCCTTTCTAGTGATTTCCAAGGGCAATGCTCCCACATTCTCACAGACCTCATATTCAGTCTGTGACCATTCAATATGAGACCATTTCAATTCCAAACTGTATAGGAAAGGAAAAAAAAAGGGGGGGGGGGGGGAAATCATAAGAAATGCAAAGCAAATACCTTTAGGGATTTTCTGCTGGCTGGAAGCCTGAGCCACTGATTTATGTAATGGTGGCTGAGGTAGTCATAAACCTACACCAATGATAAAAATTCCTTAACATTGTTTGGTAATTTTCAGTTCACAATGAAGTTTTATTAACATTCGATCTTTATGACAGCCCCATGAGATAGACCAGGCAGATAGTAAAACTCTTTTGTACAAATGAAGAAACTAAGATTAAAAGCCCTGTTCCAGGTGCCACAGGTTATTAATGACAAAAAGAAAAGAGACTCAAATGTTTGAGTGTTCTGAAGGTAAAAGAACCAAAAGTTGTTGTGTTCAAAGAAACATTCATCTTTGAGAACAACACTGATATGAAATCTTATATCTTATCTATTGGGCTTCCTTATCAGTGTTCTACCTACAGACCTTCTCTGAACTCAAGTTCGGTTTATTATAACAAGCCATCCTTGCAGATGTGCCTTGGAATTAAAATGTACATGTCTTGTAACCACAATCTGGTCCCCTTTCTGTGCATATAAAATGTAGCTTGGATGCAGCTATACAAGTGAATACAACTGATACACAGAAGGTGGCCTTCTTCCCACAATATGTTTAGTGAGTCCAACACTTAATGAGAACAATTTTATCTCATTTCCATAATGTGGAGAGGAGCTTTCTTTGACTCAGATAAAAACACTGAGACTCACAGAAGTTAAGCCACTAGCTCAAAGACAAAAAGCTATGACAAAGCTAGCAGGGTGCAGAGGTAAAGTTTCAGCATAAATTTAATGTCCAAACTTCTATTCCTCTTCTGTACTCTGCTTCCTAATGGAGTTCATAGTTCCTTTTGTTTGAGCTCAAGCACAGCAGTACTATTTTATTTTTACCCTGTACTGTAACTCTTTTTGAGGTGAGAGAACTTGAAATATTTCACCTAAACATTTCTCTCCAAATATGTTTGTCGTGGTTAAAGTTTGTGTGTCAACTTGGCTGGGCCTGGTTGAGTGGCTGAGCAGCTGAATGCAGTTATCCCCCATGGTGAGACTGGTAATCAACTCCATGGTGGAATCTATTGGAGCAGCTGAGTAGCTGCTTTGGGTGTGTAGTCTGCTTCCCGTATATAAGAAACAGTTTGGGAATGGTCTCTAGCTTATGGCACGCTTGGACCCTGCATGTAGCCATGTCATTGTTCAGCAGCCTGCCATGCTCTGCTGACCTTGGGACTTTCAATGGACTTAAAGTAATGGCCTGCCATGTGTTTTAGTAACATCGGGACTGTGCCTTTTTACTTGTCAATCTTAGGTTTGTCAGCCTCAGCAGCCAGCAGCTGTCTGAGTGAAGGGAAGCCTCTAGCTCCAGTGGGCTGGGAGCAGGAGGCAGAGCTGAACCCCATGGTTGAGGGGCTTGCACCTAGCCCCTAGAGCCTGGCACTTTGAACTTGGACTTAAAGCCTCCAAATTGTAAGAATAAACTCCTGTTTGTTCAAGCCATCCTATTTGTGGTATGTTCTTGTCAGAGCGGTACTAGGTAACCAGAACAATATTCTTATTTTTTTTCTACCCCCTGTAAGTTTTAGCAATATAAAACGGGCAGCCTTGACAATAAGCATTTAGCAGAGTTCAATAGCTTTTGTTTCATTTATTTTCCTTTTATCCTACATGTACAAAACCCTCAGTGGTTGCCTTACTCTACTTCTAAAACTTCTAATTAGTTTCAGGCTCTCGATTTAAAGTTTATTTTGTGAAATTAGGAATTATGGGAGCCACTGTATAGCGTATGGCATTCTGAAACTTTACCTCACTCTCCAGGCTTTCCTGGGCCTTTCACATTAGAGACTAAGTTTATCTCAAACAACCATTTTATGTTCTTGAAATGGTCATGTGTCACAGTTACCTCCTATAGATTAAGCTCACTAGCAAAATAAACTCAGTAACACTGGTTCCCAACCCAAGGTCATAGGCCAGTGTGATGGGGATAGGTTGGGAGCATGGAATTATTACAAGGGGTTCATGAATTAACATGAGCTTACATGTTAACTCAGCCCATCGGTCGAAAGTATATCCTTTCTGGCATGGATCAATAAAAATTTTGACAGGCAAATGGAATCTTTATATTAAAAAATATTGAGACCCTCATAGGTCTCTGATGCAACTGAACTCATACCTAGCATGAAACATTGCAAAGGAAAATATTAAATGACTATGTTTACAGAATTACAAGGTAACAAGCCATAAGGAAATGTGCTAAGAATTCCTGAAAGATCCATGAACGTGAGAAAGGAAAAGAGAGGAAAAAAAACATCAGCAAGAGGGAGCTAGGGAGAGGACAGAAAGATGAAAAAGGAAGGAAAAGAGGGCAGAGGACAAGAGTGAAATAGGTAAATCTGGATGGATTTCAGCTAAGTTTCAGTGAGCTTCAGTGAGCTTCAACGACCAATTCTTCCAAGAATCTATCCATTGCTAATGCTGACCGTGACTAGCAAAAATGCAGCAATGTCACTGAAGATCCAGGTGACCTTAGAGCCTACAATTAAATGCAGTTTCATTGCTGACCTAGATCCCAAAGGGATTTGTTCATAGGGATGTTCAGCTTCAAAGCATAAAGGATCTCAGTGTTTGGGAATGTGTATGCATTTCCCCATGCACCTTTAGAAGTCTGCATGACGCTTGGAGGTGAAGGTTATAATTCCACAATATTTATTCTATTTTCTTAAAACTATCTGCTACAAATAATGGAGGACTATTGAAAAGTCATGCCATTTAAGCTAGCTATATATTTTATAGAAAACGATTTAAATGGCAAGGCACTTGCATACGTACAGGATATGTGCAACATATGTTTTGAATGTACTCACCCCCCACCCCTGTACTGTATTCGAGGAGATCTTTCTACTCTGAGACTATGGTTGCTGAAACTCTACACAAACACCTGGAAGAATGTAAGAGATGCAGTCAGTCATCTGGGAATTCTCTCTGCAAGAAGCCAAACAGCTGCAAGCTTGGCATCATGGAAATATCCAGATGCAAAGAGATGTGGATAGACACTGTAAACTGGAAAGTTCTGGATGTAGATGTCACGGAGACAAGAAAGTTGATTCAAACCTTTGCATGTTAATGGTCCCTCCCTTCTCTTGTGATCATTGAGGAATGCCCTTTCTAAGGTCAAAAATGAAGGTTTTTGGGAAACCCACTTGGCCATCATCTCAGTTATATAGCAGAAGGTGAAAACTCTTAAGCCCCTAGTCAGTGTCTCAATCTTGGCACTACTGACATTATGTTTTGGAGGTTGTCCTGTGCATTGTAGGACGGTTAGCAGCTTCCCTGGCCTCTGCCCACTAGACGCCAGCAGTGCCATTTCCACCAATCGTGACAATCAAAACCCTCTCCAAATGCTGACAAATGAACCCTGGGGGGACAATTGTCCAAAGTTAGGAACTACTTCCCTAGGTGGTTTGGGGGTGCTTACTGCAACAAAAAAGATGATTCAACACCAAAGCTAAATTTTCGTCCCTGACAACCACTGCTGCAGATGGAAGGCATAGCATGGAGTAGTGGAAACAAAGGGTGATCAGAAATCAGGAGGCTTCTGGCCCCTCTGCCCCTCCCTAACTCTAAGAAGTCATGCGTAAGGAAAGCTGTTCAAGCACCCAATTTAAAATTGCAATGCTTCCCCCAAAGCCCAGCAGCTGAGGTCTCCTTATCCTGAAACATTATTTTTTTCATTTTCCAAAACATGTATCATATAAAACATGTTGTTGTTGTTGTGCGCCATCGAGTTGGCCCCGACTCATAGAGACCCCTCCTTGGGTTTCCGAGGCGGTATCACTATAGCAGTAGATTGCCCAACCTTCCTTCCGAGGAGTGGCTGGTGGGTTTGAACCGCCAGCCTTCTGGTTAGCAGTCAAGTGCCTTAGGCACTATGCTACCAGAGCTCCCACATGATATTGAATTTACTTATGTATTACACATGCTCCAAGAAGACAGGAATCTTTGGTTCACTGACATATCCCAAGTCCCTGTACAGTATCTGACACATAGTAAATGCTCAACAAATATTTGTTCAACTGAATAAATCTCTTGTTCTGTGCCATTGAATTGATTTCAACTCATAGCAACCCTAGAGGACAGCGAGAACTGCCCCATTGAAGTTTCCTAAACTATAATCTTTACAGGAACAGATCACCAGGTCTTTTCTCTCTTGGAACCACTAGTGGGTTTGAACTGCTGACCTTTCGGTTAGCAGCCAAGTGCTTAATCATTGCATCACCAGGGCTCCAGGAATCTCTAAATGAGAACTTTATTAACATCATGATATTTCACACGTTTTGCAAAAATGCTAGGGTAGATGAACTATGTTCTTCCTAGTCATGACTTACTCTGGATTCTTTGACTAGTATTAGACTTTATTAGACTAGAGAGAAAGATGGTATTGATAAGTGAGCATTCTATTATAAATCATGGTTTCTTAACATATGTATGTGCTGTTTTCTAGGGCAGGGGTCCTCATCATGGCAATGAGTAGAAACAGTTTTGATTGTCTCAAGTGAAGGGGGGTTGCTACTGGCATTTTGAGAGTAGAGACCAGAGATGCCACTAAACGTCTGGCGATGCACAGGACAGCCTCTTACAACAACAAACAAACAAAATGCCAATAGCACTGAGGTTGAGAAGTCTGATCTTGATTCAGAAATATATACTTTCTGATGCTTTATTTTGTGGCTTTCTGATTCATTTACATGAAGGAACTATGAACTGAAAGTAACTCTTGCTTAAAACTAATTTGGGGTTTAGAACATTAATCTATGTTAACAAGAGCCTTTGAAAAAAGATACTTAGCCTCTCCCTGTCTCAGTTTTCTAGTTTCCCAAAGGGTAATAATGATGAGTCTGTACTTCAAAGGGGTTCAACAAACCTTAATGAGTGCTTGTTAAGTATTCTGACCTTCATAGTGAAA